GATTAAGAAATTTTGTAATAATGGCACCTGTAAATTTTTAATTATGGTCAATTGTTAAATTAACATAGTATTATAAAATATTATTTGTAACGTCAAACAAAAACAGAAAATAATTTCGTATGATATTGTAAATTAAAAACCATGCTCTATTTCTATTGATACTTGTATAAAATCATTCTAGGTACTATATGAAGTTTAGATGTATTTGAAAATAAAGTGCTAGTTTAGTATTGTAAAGTTTTGGCATTTTGAACTTATGGATTTGACCTTTATACCTGATATGAAATAGTTAAGCATTAGAATTAAAAGTTAAATATGATATATCATGTAGAAAACCTGATTGAAATATAAAAAGATGTATATGAAATCCAAAATTTAGATGCAAACTACTTTTTTTATTATCTATTTAATTTAATTTATATGATGATAGAACCTCTAGTGTCATAAGATTTGTATGTGTCAGTTAGAGCTTCCATTAACACATATATGTGGGTCTATGGTCTCTGGCCTGGTGTGTAGGGCACTCGACTTGCAATCTATGGGTCATGGGTTCAAATTACTCCCATCATCAATCATGCTTGTATATATAATGCCCTTTGATCCTTAGGAATATTATAATATGATGGTCAGTCTCACTATTTGATTAGAGTAGCCCAAGAGTTTGTGAGGATGGTTTTGACTAGCTGCCTTCCCTCTAATCTGTCACTTCTAAATTAGAGACAGTTAGTGCAGATAGCCCTTGAGTATATCTTTGCATAAAATTTAACAAAGAAACTATAATCCCCAAAATACCCTTTGTGGTGCATGCAAAATTTTCTCCTATGCTTACACCAGATGGAAAACATTGGTAGGCCTTCCTTACAATACTCCCAAAAAAATAGGAATATAAATCTATTCTTCTTAAATCTAAAGTTATTATTATTATATTAGCATAATGTGCTTCCTTACTCGAGTATTCCAGTAGCATCAATATCATTTTCATTCATCAGTGTAATCTGCATTATTTGCATTGTCTCCCAGGCCACACCCCACTCACAACATTCCATTTCCTAAGTAAAAGAAATGAGTGATCCAGTTCATTCCAGCTGTTCCTGGTCCACAGTTGGATGACCCAGCTCATTCCTGCAATTGTTCATCCTGGGGTGGTTGGCCCAGCTTAGCTCATTGTAACACTTTATGTTGAAACTTTTTGCACCTAAGATTTCTATTGATAAAAAAAAAATATTTTATAATAACCATAACATATACTGTATAACACAAGTTATTTAATTGCTTTCCTTCATTTCTACACTGCTTGTAACTTATTGCAGAAAACCACCTAGGTATCAATGAGGTAGAGGTTATATTTATATTCTATAATAATTTAATTTTAAAGAATGCATAATACTTCAGTGCACAGATTAAAACTAAATATATATACCTTGTAATGAGCATAGCTAATTAAATGTAACGTTCAAATTTGTATTACTTACAATGATCAAACTCTGTAGTCTTAATGTTAAGTCAAAATAAAAAGCTTTTGTACAAGTCCCACACACAGCTTAATTTTTACTATTATTTATTCAAGTAAATGTAATTAGTGGAACTTTAAAAATGTATTAATTATTGAATATGAATCGTAGCCCAGTTCCTTAACCTCTACAATGATCTCAACATCTTCTTCAGTAACACAAGTTTCAAAATGTTTTAGAAAACAGAAAGCCCATTTTTCTTATTGTAAAATATTATTTATTTCATCTTCTTTTCTCTACACAAAAATCACTTATAAATGAAATAAATATGTTTTGTAATTTAAAGGAAATACTAAATCAAAAACACTATAACTGATTAATTAAGGCACAAATTCAATAGGCTCAGACATCTAACCTTGAATATTAGTTATAGTGTAGACAGTTTCGATAAAAATGAGCTACTTGCCTTTCAGTGCAAATTCTGTGCCCCTTAAATAATGTCCATTAAAATATATATCCTTTAAATACTATTAATAGGTGGGACACACGATTACTGTACAAAAACTTTTGTGTTTGTGTACATCAGTAAATACTTAATGGATATGTTACTTTTTTTTTTTTTTTCAGAGCATGAATCAAGTAACAATACTTTGTGGTATCATGTACTGTATGCTGTCTTTGACATGCTTTGGAGCCATCATGGATAAGAAGTATGCCAGTCTTTTCATTGACTGAAACAAATTATTCAGCTTTAGATAAAATATATTAAATGATAATGAGACCTTTTCACTTAAAAACTACATATAGCTGAGAATTCTGTATTGTAACTTAGTAGGCTTACTTAGAAATGCATACAGTTAGATACATGTAGGCCTCGTATATGTACATTGACAATTGTGGTAACTTTGAACATTATATCATTGTATATCAATAGTGTAATTTTTTTTATTAACTGTAAAAATTAGTAATTTGCATTATGAAAACTAACTTTGGACTTTCACAGACTGCACAAAAGATTTCACTGTCTAAAATTATTCAAAGTTTTTAGGAGAAAGAAATGAAATGTGATTAAATTGAAAATATATATTTTTTTTTTCTAGTCTATAGAAAAATAAATATATAATAATGAACTTTGATTTCAGGTTTTGGGCACCACTGGTAGAAGTGATTCGCTGTATACTCTACTTCACTGTGGACTTCTTTTTATCATCAACAGGAAGTTCCTGTCACATACTAATTATGGCCTTAAGAATAACATTTCTTTTTTCTGCTCTTCTTTGGAGTTTTCATCTTGTCCAAGTTTTTTCAGTCAAGATTCACAAGAAAACAGAATGAGCTGAAAGTTTTCTGTTTTACCAAATATCGTAAAGAAACTAATTCAAAACTGTGTGTCCTACAATGTATTTTAAAATTTGTAAGGTCATTACACATCACGTATGTTCTGATCAACTAGTTTATCAGATGCATAACTTTTTAACACATCTTAGATAATCAAAATTGTATCCTTTTTGAAAATCTTGTACAGATTTCACTTAATGAAAGAATAGCTTACAGTGTTTTAAGATGTGTTACAAGTTACTTTCAAGGAATATGTTTGGGATCTAGTTTCCAAGTTTATGTTATGCAGAAAAAATGTGTAATGTTAGATAATAGCCCCTGGGTAATAATAAGGTAGTTAATCAGCATGACATTTATATAAATAGTTGTGTTATGAATAATTAGTCATTCTACTTTTTGTTATTAAAACTAGTTAGATTAATTTCTAAATTTGTTCTATTTAGTTGCTCAGATATTCGTATATATATATATATATATGTGTGTGTGTGTGTGTGTGTGTGTCTGTTTGTGTATATATAAACCATGTAGGAGAATAATCATGTATTCAAATGATTACATGTAAAATTATTATTATTTCTGAAACTTTTGTTTTACATTTATTTTACAAATGGACGAAGCTTACATAATTTTGTTCATAAACTTTTAATTCAAAAATTGTTTTTTATGAAATATATTGTGTACAGTTGTTTGTTGAAAGTAGTTTGAATTAGAAAAAAAATATCTTGCAAAGCAGAACTACCTAGGTAACCTTTCATCTTTTTTGTTTTTTATTCAAGACAAACAAATATTAATAACTATTGATTGTTAATTTGAACTTTAAAATTTGTCGTTTAATAGTACTTTATACTAAAGGAAACATTTTTCTATTTTTCATTATCCTTGGTTTTTAATATGTGCTGTAATCCATATACAGATAGTCCAATGTTTTATATTTCATAACATTAAGAAATATCGTTCTTAATGCATCCAAACTAGTTTTTCCAATATCAAGACTTCTGACAGCTTGTTCAGGTTACTGTGTTTTTGTTTTGTTCTCTAAACCTGTGATCATTTGTAAGGAAGTTATTTTTTTACTTCACTATGGTAAAACATTTGAAAGTTATGTGTTAAGTTTATAGAACTAAAGCTTATTTCTCCTTTCAAGAATTTCTGAAAGAAGTATGAGCAATGGTTTTCATGCCTTTTAAAACTTAAAGGGTTAATTCTGTGTAAAAATTGAATTGAATTCTTCCTACTCGTTTTTTGTTGTTGTTGTTTTCGTATTTCATATTCAAATATAACATACTTATATACTGAACGTCTCAGTGGGGGTGGGCCAGAGAATTTTCAAAATTCCTCTACACCGGAAAGTAAACCATCCTAAATTTCTCTCCTCAGGTGACCCATCCTTGTGTCTAGTGTACAAAAAAGTTTATTAACATGGAGAGTAATGTTGTGTTAATAGTTTATATCATGAGACATTGTCTCCTTTTACCGTGCACAGAAGAATGGCCAACCCGTAATTTGTGTGCGCGGAAATCTTAACCCCACACAATTCCTCCGCCCACCCCTCCCTAATATAATAATGACCGGTCCCTTATAATAACTTGATTAGAAAATTCATCTTTTACCGATACGTCGTTTGGTTACACTCAAGTAAAATATATTTTAGGTGTGTTATTTCATTCAGAAAAATTATATTTTGGATGTCAGAAACTACAATAATAACCTAATAATAGGATTATTATGAGTAATTTCAATGACGTGTATGCATTTTTAATGAATTCTATGATTCATGATAGGTGTGCGTTATGTTCGAACCACAATTAACTTCATCAACTTACATTTAATTCTTATATTCTCAAACTAGTTTTCAAAACAAAAAAACAGTTAGAACTCTTAAAAACTTTTGAAGATAGTTTTTATAATTACGTAGTTTTATGTTGGTACATGGTTTGATAAAAGAAATTAGGGAGGCAAAACCGTGGTTGGAGGTAAGGCATAGATTGGACAATTAAGATAAAGTTTAGCGAACAAATTAAAAAAAAAAAATCCTTATTTATACTACTTTTATCTTTCATGGACCATTCCAGTACTTACTCCACAGCTATTGGAATAATTGACGTTATACATATACATAAAATGAAGCCCCATTTAACATTCTATTCACCACTTGTCACTGAGTTATATTGGTCTTTTGAAATGTCAACACTCGCCAGTAATCCTGGGCATGAGCAAACCACAACAAAGGTGAGTGATGTGGGGTGGAATTCTACAAAACTGGTGTAACTCAGTAGAAAGGAATAAACTAAATGTTGGACTGGGCTTCATGTTCATTTTTGCTTCTTAAATAGCTTGGCTGTTGAATATTTCATGGTAGTTTAATAGTAACATAAATTATACACGGTTTTCAAATCCTAATAAATATTGGTTCATTGTGCTGAGTAAAAAAGAATTAAAAACACCATTATGTATATACATATTTTAAAAAATTTAAATTTACAGCAATGTTCTATATCATTAAAACTCTTATATAAACAACATCCTTCAAAGTGTGACGGAATTACTGGTATGTAGCTAATGAAGATAATGACTTTGATCACATTTTTATAAAAACTTATTGACTTAAAAATTATTTATTTGCCCTTTTGAAAAATGTAACCAAGTCATCACTTTGAAAGGGCAAATATTGCAAATGCAAAAGGCTGAATAATAATATGTTCATAATTTGATTTCTAAACTTGTAAATTGTGAAAGTTCCTGCGATGTATTTATATTAAAATAAGTGAAATGAGGTGTGTCCCTAATTGTGTTAAATATTTAGAAAGATATATTGAGC